GCCAACCCTCGAAAACGAATTTAGTATGCATTTCACAGAGGAAGTTTGCATAGGAGAACTATATATATATATATATATATATACAAATTATTTATTGGGCTTATTTTGCTTTCTAATGGATCCGTACAATATGGCACAGCTTTAGGGGCCTGGAAGATCCCCTACCAGGGGTTCCAGGGCGGAGCCCTAGGATGCTCTCGAGTTTATTTGACTTTCAAGAGAAAGTGTCTCTAAGATATAAAGAGAGGTTATTTCTTCAATGAAGTGAAAGGACTCATGAAAATAAAATAGCCCTTTCATTTCATTTTAGAAATAAACTCTAATCCATCCCTTGATATTTAAATTGCACTGCTCCTACTTCGTGCTTTGTTCAAACTCCCCTTGATCTATAAAGGGTGCTTTCTCTATTTGATCATCAACAGAAGCAAAATGCTAGGCCACGAACTTTTCGAAGCGTGACCAGATTCAAAGCATGCTTAAATTAAGATTAAGGATTAAGATCCCATGTAACGCTTCGAAATGTAAAGAAGAATGAGAAAACTAAAGTTGAGATTCGACCGTTATGTCTAGACGTTGCTTAATGCATTTCGTATTGGTATTATCTCCCGTCTGACAGTGATTAGAGACGTTATTTATATGGATAATAAAGATAAAGCTGTCCGGCGGGTCTTTGAACATAATGCTTCAAAACAAATCAAACAAGCTGTTTATTTCTTTATTCATGGTCTGTTTTTACTGTTTATCTTTGCCAATCCTCGAAAACGAATGTATTATGCATTTCACAGAGGAAAGTTTGCATATTGATGAAACATATGGGCGCAGGCCAAGATTTAAACCCACTCAAGTGTGAATTTGGCGCATCTTCACTCATCTTCTTCAACTAGGAAATGGACTTCATTGTAGCCTTAGGACAGGATGGTGAAATAAAATTGATAAAAGAACATCATAATCAGATTATCCGACCCCGGAAACCCCATGAATTCATCAACTTTTATCATACTGGTCCTTTTCCTTTTGAAACTACGCTTGACCTTTAACTCGGATGGCGGCCATTTTTTATTTGGCCAATATGGCCAGCATGACAGCCCCAAGGAGACCTGCAATAGTGATACAAGCAACATCAAAATCAGATTCTCTGACCCAGAAAACCCCCTTACTATATAATTTTTTTTTATCATTTTAGCTCTTTTCCTTTTGGAACTACTATTGATCTGGAACTATCAAATGGCGGCCATTTTGGATTTGACCAATATTACCAGTATGACCCGAGGAGATCTCAAATCGATGAAAGAATATCATAATCAGATTCTCTGACCCCGAAAACCCCATAAATATATAAACTTTTATCATACTAGCCCATTTTCTTTCGTAACTACACTTGACCTGTAGGTGACACGACATTTGCTCCTGCGACAATTGCTCCGGGCTTTATTTCGTCTAAGATGTAGGGTTAGGGTTACGGTTTCAATAGGGTTTTATGTTAGGTTTAGGGTTAGGTTTAGGGTAGGGTATAGTGTTGAATCCAGGGTTGAAGTTAGCCATTCGATTAGTGTATGCAATTTACAGCGGAGCAATTGTCGCCGGAGCAAATGTCATGGAATCGACCTGTAACTATCAGATGGCGGCCATTTTGGATTTGACCAATATGACCAGTATGGCAGCCCCAAGGAGATCTTAAATTGATGAAAGAATATCATAATCAGATTCTCTGACCCCCAAAACCCCATAAATATATAAACTATTATCATACAACCGCTTTTCCTTTTGGAACTACGCTTGACCTTTAACTCAGATGGCGGCCATTTTGAATTTGCCCAATATGGCATACCCAGAGGGTACCCTTCTTGGCGTCCGGAAGAAATCGTAAAAGTATGGTATAATCTACCTCTGGGCCAAATTTGGTGCTTTTAGAAGAATCTGCACCAAACAACCCCTATTTAGCCCTAACAGCCTCCACTATATTGACTATGTATATGTGTGGACTAGAGTACGGACATTCGGTGCGGCAGGCGGACTATTGGTGCGAGACCTCTTCCGCATGGATTGTCCGTCAGACATTTGAGGCGCGCACGGAATGTCCGACACGGACATTCTGCGCGAATAAAATCCGCACCGATCGTCCGCTCTCGATCGATCTCTAATAGTCGGACGATCGGTGCGGATTACATTCTACGCGGTCACACCGGCCATACGTAAATGGCAGTGACGGTAACGACGAATTAGGAGGAAGGGGTGCATACGTGAACTACAAGCGTATTGGGGATGATCATACTATCATTTTAGAGTGTGCAATCTGGGTCAGAATCCAGCATAATATATTTATAAAAAAAGAGGTTCACATAAAAGCACTCATGATAAAGCCGCGCCCGGCCCCTACAACATCATTTTGGATTTTCAGATGATGGGGCGGGTGGCAGGGGTAGGGGGCAAAGTTCGCCCCACTCTTCCCAAAAGGGCCACTTTTACTATGTAAAGAAGTGCCCCTTCCCCTTTTTAACTCGGATAAGCGCACATTTCATCAACACATGTGCCCCCTTTCCTATCTGATAAGGGCTATTTAGAAAAATGAGGCCCTTCATAAATAAAAAGTGTCCCTTTTCATCTCTGGTAAATGACCATTTTCATATATATGAAGTTAATTCGTTTCACTTCAGTGCGCTCTTCACCTCCGATAATGGCCCATATTCGAATCTGAGAGATGCTCATTTTACCTTGAAAAGTACCCCTTCCCCTCCTGATAAGTACTCTTTTCATCTATGATGGGTGCCCATTTTCACCTTTACTAACTGCCCTTTAATTTTGAATCGTGCCCCTTTTCCTTTCTATATAGGGACCTATCCCCTTTTCATAAATACCCCTTTTCACCTCTGATAAATCAATTTCTGATGGATGCCCCTTTTCCGTCGACAAATGCCCATTTCCCATACTCATAAGTGCCCTATCTCATTTCTGGTGAGTGCCTCCTTTCAGGTGTAAGAAGTGCCCAGTTTGAACCTTTGATAATTACTCTTTGTACCTTGACACATGCTCCTTTTCTTTTCTAATAAGTGTCTTTAACCCTTTCGATATGTGTCCCCTTAACCTCTCATCATCGGGGGGGGGGGCACGTGCCCCCCTAACCTGCTCATCATTAGTCTTGCACCAAATTTAAAGCGACTAAGAGTAATTTCCCCTAAAGCTCGCTCGCTCGCTCGCATTTATAGATGATACAATTATATGTCACTTTAAAACAAATGTTTTTTTAGTCTTCCGTGATGCTTATAACCCCATCATGATTTTTTTTTTCTTCCTCTTTATAAGATGTAATTTTTTTACTCTACGACCTCACAGATCTTACATTTTTTCTCGCTCGCTTTGCTCGCTCGCAAATGAATATTCAGACAATCACACTTAGCCGAAAGTGTGATGCTTAAGCAATAACTTGTATGATATATAAAGAAAAACAAATATTGAAATCGTCCCTGATAATGGGATCACAATGAAAGGGTATATACCAATGTCTAAAAAAATGTATATTTTCGCTTTGAGATTTCGCTTTGTAGGTGCCCTTTTTTGTTGGTGCTTTCCACTTTGGAAATAGCTCCTCCGCCCCTGCTTACGCATTAGCGCCAGCGTTAATTTCACGCTGGCGCGCACAGGGTGTGTGTGTGTGTGTGGGGGGGGGGGGGGGTTCCTCTCTAGCTCTGAAGCTGATTTTTTTTTTATACCTAGATTCGTGCGATTCGGTTAATACTTTTAGAGGGAGTCTGATGGGTGATGTGCCCCCCTCTGAAGCTGACATTTTTTTGGATTTTTGAAACTGGATTCGTGCGTTTTGGTTAACAATTTTTTGGGGAGTCTGATTTGATTTCAAAACACCTGCAGTTAATGCGTGATGGTGTTGCAGCCTCTCTTTCCCCGAAAATTTAAAAATTACCAATATGCATTTGTTATATCTTATCTCGTATATTTTTGTGACAATTAACACTTTTCACAACATACATAAGCTCAAATTTCCGCTCACTCGCTTCGCTCACTCGCCAAATTATTAAACCAGGAAATAGATATTGGGGCAAGAGGCTTCAGCCCCCACTGACGGAAATGTCAAAAAAAAATTGCGCGCGAGCATAACTTGAAAACGGGGAATGTTGATATCGGACAAGAGATGTGACGTGAGCATGTCCCCTTTCCAAAATAATTGTGCCCGTTTGTAGGTACCAATACACTATTAAAGTACAGTGCTTCTAATATGACCTTGTCAGTATTGGTAAGTTTATATAACGGTCTGCACGAATTTCGAATTTCCGGCCCCCCCCCCCCCCCCCTATTGGAAAATCCTGGATCCGCGCCTGAAGGGTGCTTTCTCTATTTGATCATCAACAGAAGCAAAATGCTAGGCCACGAACTTTTCGAAGCGTGACCAGATTTAAAGTATGCTTAAATGGGGGCATTGATGTATGTTTTTGAACTCTCTCTCTTTTCTTTACTTTTTGTTCTCTTTTCTTTTATCTTCTCCTTTTCCCCCCTTTTTTTTCCCTTCTTTTTTTCTTCCTCTTTTTTCCTTCTCAATTTTTTTGCTTCGCCAATAGGGGGGGCCGCGGCCGTTTCGGCCCACCCCTGGATCCGCCACTGATTATATGTAGTTTGCTCCTCTCTTGTGTAGTTACTTCAATGTTATCTTTCCTGTAGTTTTCCTTTTTCTTTGTGTAGTCTGCTTCTCTTTTCTATAATTTCTTCATCTGCATCTTTCTTGTAGCTTTTATTTTCTTCTGATAAACATCATTCAAGATTTAGATTCCAGGATCGAACCACATTCCAATAACTATGACTCATACTAGGCCCAAACCCCAGTCACTTACACTCTCCATAGCCACTCCCCATAATACCATGACAACCCTAACCATTGACCAATGATAAGCATGAATATGTCACCCCTCCCGACATTGGTTTTCTCCCCAAACTTTCCTGAATGTAAAGTTGGATAATGATAGGAACTTTGGTTTTAGCGATCACCCGCTGAACAAGGGTTTTGAGATAGACTAGCTACAGGCAAAGGGAGAGATAATATTGTGTATCTCGGATTCTAGAGTCGTCTACAAGAGTCATTGTGTTATGTATAAGCGCTAGCAAGAGGATTGAATAAATGCTGCTGAAACTGTAAACAAGCTCCTCGCCTCATCCTTTTATGCTCCTCGCCTACAATCACCGATCCGTACACGACAGTAGTAATGGAGGGAAATTTGATTGTATTTGGTTTATGTCTTCTTGTAACGGCATTTTCCTTCATTTTCCTGGGAATTTTCTTCTACGTTTCGTACAACCGGAACATTTACAGTCACATTCCTCATCCGAAACCTCTTCAGTAAGTCATAACGGGAATTTTATGTTAGCCTACCCGGCCCGCACCCTGGCGCGGACGGGCGGCCTTGGCCTTCGTGCGGCCGGTAGTTTAGCCTCTGCTAGCGCTAGCTCTAGCCTCCAGCCTGGCTGTGTATTAAAAGCTGTGCTATTGATTCTTAACATTTCCAAACACCACTGTACAAAACTCAACTAATTTTACTCGAAATCGGTACTTTAGTGACGATTGATGACACCTAAATAGCAGTAAAATACAACTTTTCAACTTTCCGATGTTAGGTACTGTAACAAATCAGGGTTTTAGTATTGGACGAAGGTTAAGCATTTTCTGTTGTACGAGCATGCGCTATAGCAATATGGTGCATCGTTGATTTAGCAATTACCAAACTGAAGGAAAATGAGCATAAATTACATATTTTGATCATGTTGGTGCAATTATCATGTTTCTTTTGGGGATATTACTTGTATAGTAGTGATCTAATCAGGAATAAGGGGTTATACTGAAGATTATATGTGAAGATTTTATGGGATTAGCAGAAATATTGTGTTGAAGTGTTGTTTTACTAACGAGGACATAATTGTTGTTTTACACGTTTATGTATAGGGAAATTGTTATGATGGTCAGGGTTGTGCATCTAGGGCTTTCCACTGCACTGTATCCGATACAGGCCAGCCTCACCGAGGCTGGCCTGATAGTTGGCCTGATAGTTGGCCTGGCCTAAGCCTCTAAGCTAAGTCTCACATAGTTTGCACTGTACTTGTACTGAGTTTACCCGATTGTTGAATGGATCGCAATAAAGACTTTCAACCTACACATCATGATTGGTTTGATTTCTTGGAGCAGTGAAACCAAGGGACGAGAACCTGTGACAAGTGTTGACAAGGGAAATTGATTGTTCGAAGGATGCTCAATTCTCGCTACCCCAAATAGCGATTCTGCCGAGATCCGGGAAAATCCTGAAAACGCGCATTGCATTATGGGATAGCTTTTCGACATTACAGCTTCCTGTGCAGGCGTTCGTGATCACAACCCTCTCTTTCACGGTAGAGTTTAACGGCCTTTTGTGCTAAAGTCACTAATTCTGCCCGAAGCTTTCCATTGCATATTATAATCTGTACAAATTACACTGATTGGCATCGATTTTAGCGTGCGTGAAAACTCTGCACAGCGAACACAGGCGCTAGCGCCAGCGGGATGGGACTCTATACCGGAAGTTGTAGTGACGACCCGAGAGAGTGAAAATTACCTCGTCTCGCGAATTTCGAGATTTTCGTACCTATTTAGGGTAGCGAGAATTGATTGATGCTGTGAACGAGACGTTTAGGTGACCGATTGTAGTCGATGGACGAATGATTGTTGAGATACGTGTGAGCAGTTAATAACTCCAGCCATTAAGCTACGGGCATATATTTTGTCCAAACGGACGGAGAGCGCCTGGCCAGATACGGGGCATCCTGACAAATATTCCGTGTCAAGCCAATTAGGTGGCGAACCGTGTCCGCTACACATGGTGTCAGAAGTGGGATTGCTGATGGCGTGGAGTGGTCGAGCTGACGGAGCTGGGGGACGACGACAGTAGCACTGACGGAGCTGGGGGACGACAGGCAGTAAGTCTGACGGCGTCACAAGCTGGTAGAGCTGACGGAGCTGGGGGGCGACGAAGGGCAGTAGGTCGGACGGCGTCACAGCTGTGGTCGAGCTGAAGGAGCTTGGGGACGACGGGCAGTAAGACTGACTGCGTCACAGCTGGTCGAGCTGACGGAGCTTGGAACGACGGGAGGTAGCATTGACGGTGTTGCAGCTGGTCGAGCTGACGGAATTGCGGAACGACAATGGAGTCGTATAATGAACCAAACATGCTGCCAGACTGGTTTGACGGGGAAATTCCCATACTGGACTACTTGGAGCATTTCGAAGCATGCGCAATCATCAACAATTGGACGGAGAGGAAGGCAACGCATTATCTAGCAGCCAGTCTACGTGGGCCAGCGTTGAGGCTCCTGGGGAAGAATGGTGAGGCAGAACTGACGTACAGTGCATTGACCAGCAGGCTCAAACATCACTTCGGACCTTCAGGAAAAGCTGATGTATTCTTGGCAGAACTACGTTCCCGACGAAGGAAGCCGAACGAGACCCTTCGGGAATTGGGCCAAAGTATCAGATACATGGCAGCAATGGCTTACCAGGAGTTTGGTGCCGATGGACAGGATGAGCTGGCTCGGGGTCACTTTCTTGACGCAATAATGAATCCAGCCATCCGAGAAGGTTTGTTTCGGGCTCAGCCACATACCCTGGATGAGGCTATTGAAGCAGCTCTGAACATGGAGGCTTTTCTTCAGATGGAAGCAGAGAGGGGAGAGTTGTGGTACTCTCACCGTCACAGCCACAGCCGTGCTCTGACAGGTATCGGTCGACCTCAGCACCCTGATAGCCCTTATACATCAGAAATGGTGAAGAAGATGGAGAAGGCGCTAACTGATCTTACAGCCAGATTGGAAGCACTGACCCGCCAAGTAGGAAGTACGTCGCAGTATGGCAATACAGGGCCACACTCCCGGGGAAGACGTCAGGACGGGCCTTGTGATGATTGTGGCCAACAAGGACATTTTTCTTGGAATTGTCCTCATCCAAAGATGCTGTACGCACATGACTGTCCAGAAATGAAGGAAGCAGAGACCAGACGTTGTCACCAGTGCAATGAAGCTGGGCATTTCTTTCAGAACTGTCCTCATAATCCAGCTGGAGGCGGTGGGGTGGCGACTAAGCACCCTGAACAAGACGTTGGTGGTTCAGTTACCATTTCTGTCTCTTTCGTTTCGTTAGCCTCCTATTTGGGTAGGTAGGTAGGGTCGGCTCCTCTCTTTAGAGACAGGAGCCAACCATAGGGTCTCCTGTGCAAGCTTTGCAAACGTTGTTGCCATTTTTGGCCACTAGAATCTAGTTCTCTACTAAAGACTCTACCATATTTTAGCGGATTCGTATTATAGTAAGATATACAGTGCGTCCCAGAAAAAATGAAACCGAGAAGTATCGATGTTCTATCATAACTTAATCACAACTATAATTAATGAATGATACATATTTGGAAAGCTTAGAGTCTCCTCTTTCATGTGATGCTACTCAGATTTAAAAGCAATTTGAAGGAAGGAATCCAAAAAGACATTTGGCGGGCGGTATCTGAATTTTGAAGAAAAATTCACATTTCTAAAAAGATGAGTTTCTGCCCTTTCATATGACACCTCAATCAGGAAAAATGAGCAAGGAATGACAAAGTTCTGTTTGTTTAAAGTAGTGCTTGCATTTCCATAATTTTATTAAACGAATTCGTTTTCACTGGCTGCCCGCCGTATCAATAAACGAAATAACAAAAGACTTAACTCCGTTTCGTTGACAATCAGCCGTAGACGAGAGTCTTCATGCATGGCTGATTGTCAACGAAACGGAGTTAAGTCTTTTGTCAAATCTGCTTTTTGCAGGCACCCAGTGAAAACGAATTCGTTTGTTAAAATTATGAAAATGTAAGGGCTACTTTAAACAAACAGAACTTTGTTATTCCTCGCTCATTTTTCCTGATTGAGGTGTCATATGAAAGGGCACAAACTCAACTTTTTAGAAATGTGAATTTTTCTTCAAAATTCAGATACCGCCCGCCAAATGTCTTTTTGGATTCCTTCCTTCAAATTGCTTTTAATCACTCATGCGTGAAATATGCATCATCTGAGAAGCATCAACTGAAAGAGGAGACTCTAAGCTTTCCAAATATGTATCATTCATTAATTATGGTTGTGATTAAGTTATGATAAAACATCGATACTTCTCGGTTTCGTTTTTTCTGGGACGCACTGTATAATAAAATGCAAGACGGATATATATCGGCTCACCTTCTTTCCAAGAACCATACGGGCCTGGAATTTACTTCCCCCCAGCATCTTCGCCTTCGACGCAGTTGAAACCTTCAAAGCCAGACTCTGGGAAGCAATCCAAGGGGGTAATATAATCATAGTCCCTCCCCACAACTGCAATGTGATGGGACTCAATTCTAAAATGTTCTAGAAAGAAGCAACAAACACTCTCTCTCGAACGATAACGTTCTTATTGGTCATCTTTATATCCCTCTTGAGGATCAGGACCAGGATCAGAACAAATACAGATACAGATAAGATGCATTTATTTTTGAAAATTAGGCCTAGGCTAATATACATCGGTTCCACTTACCAGATTGACTGTATGATGCGAATATAAAATAAGTTTTTTTTTCCGGATTTTCTTCGTCGAAATAGAGCTCCGTGTTGAAATTCTTGCAGCAGTATTTTAAACTATTAAGCTCCTTTCACACCGGGCCATGCGTAGAGATGGGTAGTGTACCGACTACGCCGAGCGTACGCTGCCCTACGCTAGCCTATACGCTGAGGAACGCAAAGGGGTACGCGAGATGGACGCAAAACATTAAACATGTTTAATTTGTTGGTGTACTTTCGGCGTAGACACTAGACGCAGAAAGTATGCAAGTCTACGCAACTCTACAGTACGCCAAGCCTACGCAATAGTATGCATAATGCTACCCTACGCCAGTCCGATGAAGCAGTAGAAGCTTGCGCACACAGTAAGCAACTGTACGCAACTGTAAGCAAACCTGTACGTCAGGCATACGTAAACGTACGCAACCCTACGCTTGCAAGGCTGTCAACCCTCCCGCATTTGGAGGGAGTCTCACGCCACCACGCTTATTTTCCCGCCGCCCCAACAGCTCGTAGCGGGATATTCCTGCCACCACGCCTTCCTCCCGTTCTCCCGCCAACGATGTAAAATCTCACGGTTTATGAAAAAACCTCCCACCAAACCGTACCGTATACCAACCCCTCCCTTTGTTTAGATGTAGCAAAAATCTGACTTGGACGACGAGCGCACAAATCGTAGGCATAGAAGCCTTATGCCCAGGTATTAGCCTCCCTACTCAAGGGCTAGGTGATAAACAGACAGAAATAATTGTATGGTGTTTGGAATTCTATTATAAATAACTAAGGGTAACAACATATGAGACCTTGCCTCCCTCCCTTCCCCTTCCCCTCCCCACCCCTCCCCCACCCTCCCTCACCCTCCCCCACCCCTCCCCGGACACCACCAGCTCTTTATTCCCTATCTTGACTAGCATTTATCCCAAGACTTCTAAAGAGAAATAGAAAAGTCAAATAGAAGAAAAGAAAACAAATGAATCAATGGCATAATAGTTTCAATTATCTTATTTATGCACAGCTTCTTGCTTGGACATCTACCCCTCTTCAAAGAGGTTGCCAAAAATGGACCAGTGTCGAAAAAAATGGTTGAGTGGTAAGAAATACTCTTCTACCTTTCAATGGGGGTTTTGGATTAAGCATTGCAGTAATAATTACTACTATCACATGACTTTGCCATGGCAAACAAAGTAAATCATAAAACTGGACTACCTACATGATTATAATTGAAGCAGTGTAGAAATTATGGTTTTGTTCCTCGTTCCTATGTATTGGCAAACTGAATGGATACAAAGATTGTTTAAATTTCTCATAATTTATTTGCAATTCAATAAACTGACTGGCAGCTTTATACAGGGCTGTCAACCCTCCCGCGTTTTGGAGGGAGTCTCACGCCACCACACTCATTCTCCAGCCGTCCCAATAGCTTGTAGCGGGAGATTCCCGCTTCGATGTAGAATCTCACGGAAAAACCGCCCGCCGAACATTAAAAAAAAAAAAAAAAAACCTCCCCCGAACATTCAACAACAACAAAAAATGTCCTCTTACCCCCAAAAAAATTTGCCTCCCTCGAAGCATTTCCCCAAAGTTAACAGCCCTGTTTATATACAGGCAGTGCTATAAAGTACTAACCAGAATACCAGATTTTAAAAAAAATTGATGTGTCTCCCCTTTACTTTATATTGATAATATTTAGGAGCAAAGAACTGGGTCCAGTGTACTGTCTCCACATTGTTTTCAGAACTCTCATCATGTGTAATGACTCAACAGTTATCAAGGTAACTTCAGTTTAGAATTAATGACATTTTATGCCATTTTGTTTCTTCATTTGTTGAAGAAAAAAATATGGGAGGACTTGTAATTTTATGTGAAAGTTGTGAGGCATATATGTATACATGGACAAAATTTCTGATTGACTTATTATTGAATTAAGAGATTTTGTTTGTTTTTATTACCCATAAATAGTGCTCCGTCATTTTGCTATCAGTCTCAATTTCGAATGCATATTGATATTTGATTTATACCTCAAATAGGACAATGGTTGTGTTTGCAACTGTGGATAGAATTGTTTCTCGATTGTATAGCTTCCTGAATTTATTGTTAAAATCTTGTCATGATTTATTGAGCCATTTGCTTTACTAATCACTTCATAATATGGATGGAGAAATCCCTGAGTGTCTAAGTGTATAACTTAGTTTTGCCCCCCCCCCCCCATATCCTCTAGTACTACTAGCCTTTCTGAAAAGAGAGAGGAGATATATGTATGGCAAGGTTTGAGGTTAAGTTTATACCTGATACTAAAAGATTAGAAATGTGATTTGTCAAAGTTCATGTCAGGAAGGGAAAATTCACATATTATCAGCATTTATAAACCTTCATTGTATTAGAAATTTAGACTAGAAACAAATAACACAGTCGCACATGTATTTCTGACACCAGTTATGACCAGTTTCCCAACATCGATGTACTTAATGAAGTCTGGTCATGTGATTAGATAGAAAATTGAAACCATTTGGGCAGTGGTGATTATGTAGTACTTAAGAATTGATGTATACTGTGAGGTTTTGGTCTGATCGCAATATGATATAAATTGACTCAGTATTGCTGAGAATCACATGCCCTGCACACGGAAATGTGTATTATAAGGCTGCATACACATGACATGAAAGTTTGGTCCAAACGTTAAAGCTACATTTATTTCTCATCATATTTTGAATGTGAGGGCATTTTTTAGCAAATTTCTACCAGGGTTGGCATATTTCCCTCTGCGGAGGCTTATTTCCCGGACGCCGGGAAATAAGCGGTATTTACCGGTATTTACCACTTTTTACCGGGAAATATATTTTTCCACTCACTTGTTCATAGGGATTGTCTAATTTTTAACATAATAACGATGGTGGTGAGTATGGTTGCTCTTGTGTGTACTATTTGTGTGTGTGTGTTTGTTCGTGTGTTTGTCTATGTCTGTAATTACATGTATGTAATGCTGGAAAAAAATACAGGAAAAAGATACCAAATATACACCTAATCTAGATATGATGTTCTTCATTAAAGGGAACCAAAACCTTCATACTAAGTTACTTTTATTGTAAAGTTTAAGATATTTGAATAAAATCAGTGAAAAAATTGAACAAAATCGGGCAAGGAATAAGGAAGTTGAAGCTTTTTAAAATGACTTGTCACTAGAGGGCGATATTCAATTTGATGACATCATTTGTGGACAACTCTCCATGCCTTTTGAACATCAAATTTCACAAGTCTTTCGTTTTTTTCCTATTTATTTGTGTTCTTGATCGGATTTCATAACATGTGAAGTAGAAAATCATTTTGCATTCTATTATCTCAATCACAAGAAAGAAGAAAAAACATGAAATTTGATGTACAAAAGGCATGGAGAGTTGTCCACAAATGATGTCATCAAATTGAATATCGCCCTCTACTGACTAGTCATTTCAAAAAGCTTTAACTTCCTTATTCCTTGCCCGATTTTGTTCAAATTTTCACTGATTTTATTCAAATATCTTTAACTTTACAATAAAAGTAACTTGTATGAAGGTTTTGGTTCCCAGTTGCTAATTACCATATTCATGAATACCTATTAATTAGCATATGCACAAAATGCCATTTGTTTGGGTGTGTACAATTTTGTATGCAGTGAGGATTTTATAAATCTGTTTGTGTGTTCCTACTATGAGTATTGTGCTGCTAATTATTTCAGAACAATATTTTCAGTTACGAGGCTAAAAACAAGTAAAATTATTGATAAACAGAGAATTAAAATCATATTTCCCGCTTTTTACATATTTACCGGACGCGCATCTTATTTACCGGACGGTATTTACGGGTATTTACGGGTATTTACCGCCGGTAATTACCGCCCAACCCTGCTTTCTACAATAATACACTTCGAAACTAACATTAAAAGAACAAGAAAGCTCACAAATTATTTGTCATGTTTTAAAGGTATTATGTCCCATCTGCAGGTCAAAAAAATAAAAAGGTTAAATTCCAATGGCATTTGAAAGACAATACTTATTTAGAACTTCCCTCAAAACGAAAGGGTTTAAAAATGGCTTTTTGTAGGAAAATAACGATTAGTTGTCGAATCAACATAAGTGATTGCAATCAAAGTAATAGTCTGATTTCCAGACCCTTGTACTGAATAGTTGAACGTTTTGTGCTGCACAAAAATTCAATCAGTTTAATTTTGGCCATTACAAGTAGTGGTTTATTGATGTGGACAAATGCTCATGTACCTGTTACAGCTCATTTTATGTTATTACCAAAGAAAAAAAGATGTCAGTCAGTCACTCAATAGTGTCTGACAGGGAAGTCTAAAAAGTAAACAGATTTCCTTGCATAATTTGAATACAAATACACTGATGTTTAAATTTCACAGATACATGTAGGACATACATGACATATTCATAATTATTGTTTTACAGAATTTGATGTTGGCTGCAGAAGGGACATATTATCTTTAACTAACCTATTTAATAACCTTCTATTTAAGCAGAAAAATGAGATGAACATTTCTTGTACAAATGGCACCTTGTGATTTGTAATTACTTTCAATCATGATACAATCTGAGTACGGTAATTATTTTCTCTTGTGAAGGAACTTCTGACACGAAGCAAATACTTGAAGTCGCCTGATAATTACCGTGGCTTGAAGTCTGTGTATGGAGCCATGACCCTAGGTAATGGTCTGCTCAGTGAGATGAATCATGAGGTCTGGATGAAGAAACGTGCTCTCTTTAATCCTGCTTTCCATCGCAAGTAAGAATCCCACATATGCTGGCCTTGCCTCATAAGACGAAAGGGGGGAGGGGGGAACAGTCATTTTATAATTTTTGCCACATTTTACTTTCTGCTTTTTTAACAAGTCTCAACCACAATTCCAACAATGCATATGAACCTGACAACTAGAAATCAAACACAGTTTAATTTCATCCATTGTTAATCAAATGAGAAGGCCTTTTTTGTTTAATTTGTCAAAAGTGAACATGTTGTCTTATGATGAATAGCAAAAGATCTTTTGATTATTGAACAGTTATCATCAATCTGTCCATGCCATTTTCCTGTAATTTGTTTTGATCTGTAGAAACATTGGCAGCATATTAATAGCAATGACTTCTTGATAAAAGGCTTTGTTCTGTCCTGTGATGAGGAATACAAAGTAAAATCATTCTTTGAACATTTTCAAACTCTTCTGTCAAGATAACAAATATGTACAATGTACACCTTCAAAATGTAATGTAAATTACATGTACAATGCAAATGGGGAGTAGAGTGCAAATAGATAAAGTTTATGAAGAAATCAATTTTAATTATATTCTAAATGCATGTTTTTTAAGTTTTTGTGCCACTACATTTTGCTAAAGAATTGATTTGTGATGCCTTTTCTGCAGATATTTAATGGGCCTGATGAATGAGTTCAATAGCTGTTCAGCTAAACTGGTCAATCATTTGATCCCGTTAAGTGATGGTCAGACGGAGGTCGTCATGTTGAAAGAATTTGAAAGGTTGACCTTGGAAATCATTGGAAAGGTCAGTGCACTAAAAGTCCTCATATTAACCTGGGGCTGTTATTTTTCATGTTATTGAGAAATATTTTTTTATGGCAATTGGCAAACTGAAATTGCATGGAATAGACTCTTTAGTGTTGGTGCTTGCACAGATGTTTTTCTTAACTGTACATTTAAACAGCCAGCTTTGTGCACAAATTAACCAATGACTTTTTCTAATTTCAGTTTGTTATGACAGTTGAAATATTTTTTGCTAACATAATAACATAATTTTCAGAATGCTATTCCTTTTTAAAAATGGCTTTAGTTTAATTTCGTTTATTCCTGCATTGTCTGGGCTTTCTTCTCAATATGATAATGTTATCTCAAAATTGCTTAATGACTTCATTTGTGGTATTATGATTACGGAAGCTACATGTATCTAAACCATTGGCTAAGCTTTCTTGGACTTCTTGATCTAGAGCATACTTTGGTGTACTTTGAATCACAGCTACTGAAAAAATCAAATGCTTTTTTTGGTCTCTTTTACACATTTTATTCATATTTTCTTTCATACTTTTAAATCTGCCTTTTATAGGGTACCTGAGTAGAAATACATGTAGTACATGACTTGTGTGAATCAACTGGGACCATTGTCCCCCCATTGCGGTTACAATGGTGATACATGTAGCTTTAAAGTACATATTTTGTGTTGTAATATGATTTTTGTATTGATTTCAAAGTATTTGTGTATTTTTTAGGTTGGATTTGGAATGGAGGATGATATCATTGGGAACCCAGATTCCCCTCTTTGCCAGCTCCTTCCAAAGGTTTTGTCTGGCGTGAATTCTGTTTACAGACGTCCACTATTAAAGGTATGTCAATCACAGACCACGTGTCATATAGGGGTCAGAATCCCAAATGATCCCACCCCCCCCCCCTCCATACGTTTGTTTCCTGGGATGATATTTGTAGTTGATATTTCACAATATTAGATGATGATGATAATAGTGGCTTGTTGTATAGCGCCAGTGCCAACTTCTGCTGGTTGCTCATAGCGCTTACTCTACAATATTTCACTATTTCAATCTTCTTGGTCAGTGTTATTTAGTCTTTGTTAGCATTACAGTTTTATTCAGTTTGGCCAATTATGTAAATGTAGTTGTGAGTGAAGTAAATTCATCTGCCTTCTAGAATGATGTTTCCTATATTTAGTTGAATGCCTTTCCAAATACCCTCCTATTAGGCTCACATCCAACTGTTTCTTTTAGAGTTATCTACTGCTGCAAACAGAATTAGTAAATATCTAAGTTATGATGGGGATAGGGATTCATGTATGACAATGTGATACATTAAAAATGTATCTTTACTCATTAAGGAACAAGAAATTATAGGGTGATATTTAATACAGTGTATGTGTCTCTTTTCAAGGTATTTGGATAAAACAATGGGTTAGCTGTATATTAATAATGTATGTTGCTGCTTGTAAGTGTCGGCTTGCATGGTGATGTAGACAGGGCTCAAATTAATTTTTTGTCCACGGGGGCTCTTCCCCCGAAAAAACAGCCCCCGTGAGCCTTCTCACGGGGGCTCTTTTATTACTGACGGGGGCTCTTTTTTATACAAATATCCATTGAATTGGTACCTATGATACTCCTCAATTATTTGCTATTTCATCATTATCATTTCAATCAGCATTTTCCCTCTTACAAATTTACAAGCTACATAGCTGTTACTGGCCTGTGTATATAATATATACGCATACAACACTAATCTTTATGATGTCTTTAACGTGACATATCTTCTTCTCCCCTTGCAAACGAAAAAGAAAACATGTTCATTAAAAGGGATTAAGCGACAAATAATGATTGTGATTCAAATCGATGCGAATATTTGTTTGAATAAGCACTGCTATTCACCCGAATCTTCTTTGTAAAAATAACTTTTACAAATCTCAGCCATGCTTACTGAGTTAAGACGTTCCATTCAATTTAAAATACCCATTACATAATACACTTCTCCTAATCTCAAAGTGATCTTACAGCACAGTGGCAGAATTGCATGGCTGAGATTTGTAAAAGTCGTTTTTACAAAGAAGATTCTGGTGAAAAGCATTGCTTATTCAAAAAAATCCTTGCATCAATTTGAATCACAATGATTATTTGTCGCATGGTCCTTTTATTGAATAACCTTGTTTTCTGTTTTGTTTGCAGAGGGAAAAGAAGCTATGTCACGTTAAGAAATCATAAAGATGATACCAGAACAAATGTTGATTATCAGAATGTCATTTTGGAATACCTCTATACAAATACCACATTGTCTTTAGCCCGTATCAGTATTAGTATGATCCAATATAAAGCTATTATTCTTTATTTAATTCAGTATAATGCTTTTCCTCAAAAATAGTTTTGCTATTTTTTAGGCTAAGAAATGGTTTCAAATGTACATTACATTACAGTACATTACATTACGAACCCTGAACCATTGCAAAATGATGGTGGTTCTCTCTCTCTCTTTATTTTAATCATGCATTATCAACTACATATAAAGCAGCATCCAAAAACTTAGGGTTATCTGAGATAGGTGAGGTAAGAGTTAAAAAGAAAGTCATGCTAAAATGGCGTTTCACTTCCCCCCGCCCCCTGAACAAAATAAAATAGATTAGTAGTCCTCCTCTCCAGAATCCCCTCCCCCCCCCCCCCCCCCCCGCTTTAATATCACATTTTCACTTGGCAGCCCAAGGGGGCCGGGGGGCGAATTTTTTTTTCCCAAACAGGTTTACCTATGAGAGTAAAATCCTGCCTCCTGATTGGTTCAGAGGTATACGCGTCATGAATATTCACGAGCTGAGTTCACAGCACTGTGGCTGAGCTGCAGTACCTAGTATATGTATTACGCATGCGCGTGGACTTCAGTTTTGCTGGCCATTTTAAGGTGTACAAAATGTATGTGAGCTAGCTGTGGTGCGAGGGGATTTTTATTGGGGGAAGGGGGGGGGGTCTGTTTGTTTTTGAACATTTCTGGTTATTCTGGTGCTTGGTTTATATAGTTTTACACTGCGGATTTTTTTTCTCAAAGAGTTCACTTACAGTACACACACTAATATTCCAATTTCACACATAGGCTATACATACAAACACTATCTTTCTCTCTCTCTCTCTTTCTCTCTCTCGCTCTCTCTCTCTCTCTCTCTCTCTATAAACACACACACCCACCCACCCTCATGTATTTGCAAACACATAAGCAACAAATGCACACACTAGCTGTCAAGAATACACAATAGACACACACAAGGGGTATGAATTATCTTATCAGGATGGTCCGACATGAGATGGTTGGATGTGGGTCAAAGCCACTGTGTTGCTCCGAGCATGATATCTTGACAAACATTTAATATTATCACCCGTAACTGAAACCAACACACAATTAATATCACGGTATTAGTCTCTTTTTTGTTCCACCAAGCTAATTTTTGCACCTTGCACAAATGCACTTCTCAACATGAAATATTTCACTAAATTTGTTTTGTTATTTTCACTCAAAATTAATTCAGCCATCAGGGGCGGATCTAGCTTTTTGCTCAGGGGGGGGGGGTTGACCAATAATGACGATGCGGAGCATCGTCCACGAGCCGCGAAGCGGCGAGCCGATTTTTTTTTGGGTGTTTATTTGAACCCCGTATGTCATGTTTTCCTGGCATCTATTAACACAATGGAGACCATAAAAAGCAGTGCATGATAACGTCTTTTTAAATCAAGTAACAGTTAAATACACAGTTATATCCAGAGTTATCATGTGTTTGGTTAAGTTACCAGATGAGTTGAATATCTTCTCACAATATTTGCACTTGAAAGGGTTTCTCTCCAGCGTGCGTTCTTTTTTCTTTTTTTTTTTTTTTTTTTTTTTTTTTTTTTTTTTTTTTTTTTTTTTTTTTTTTTAATGTGGGGATTTGGGGGATGAGAATCGGCAACGCTGGCCTAGCTTGTCACTTCGGCGGTGGCCCGTGTCCTCAAAAAAGCTGATGGGGGGGGGGGCAAGGGACTCTGTGCCATTTGTTCGCCCAACCCCCCCCCCCTCCCCTCCCCCCAAAAAGAAATAATAATAATAATAATAATAATAATAATAATAATAATAAATGAAATAAATACATAGAAATAGAATAAAATAAAATTACAAGTTTTAAAAAAAAAGATAAGATTTTAAAAAATGGTCCCCGGATTTTTTTTTTTGGGGGGGGGTTGCAACCCCCCCCCCAACCCCCCCCCCCCCCCCCCCCCCCTCTAGATCCGCTTCTGGCCATGCTCACTTTTAATCACTTCACTTTTATCTTATTTAACATTGAATACAATGCAGTTGCATGGGTTGTTCTTTTATTTTGTTAACTCGGCAGAGGCCACGGTCATGTTCAAGCATGTACGCTTACGACATGTGGTCTCCTGCTTTTTCCTTTTGTATGAAACTTTTATTTTAACTAGAAACAAATTTTGTCAAACTTACATGTTATCCATCATATTTATTTGTATGTTTCTTTGTATTGATATGAAAAAGTGGAAATAAAACAAAACAAACAAACATATCAGTGGTTCTGGTTCCTTTGTGACAGATGAACCTGGCCAAAGAAAACAAAGGACATAAAGTAATATATACAGGCTCTACACACATGTCAAAGACAAGCTTTTATTATTAATATGCATACCAAGTGCACATTACACTGATTCATCTCTTATTTAAACATGAATATCTGACTAAGTCCTTTTCAATCTTTATATCTTCAAACTTCTTTTCTCAAGATTATCTTACTTAAATCAGAATCAAAACAATATTTAAAGGACATCCATTTCATTGCATTAATTTGAGCTTTCAACAATAAATACAAACAGCAGGTTCATAACCTTTGACCTACTTTCATGAATTTAAACTTGATATGACATGCACAGGATATGATTTTACATTTTCTGTTATTAAGATACAATCCCCACACACATTTATTTCACTGCCTCTGTCAACTAAATTTGAGACTCCATATAAATTATATTGCATGCATGTGTCACTGCTTTTGAGACTAATTCAGAATACATAATAACATAACCTACTGACACTATATAGTCTACTGACAATTTCAAAGCATTAACATAAAAATGGGATGGGCCGATTTACAATTTCACAATAATATTGTGGTACTTACATAAAGACTTGTATGGTTCTTGCAGAAGAAATCGGTATTCTCTTCTTTAGAGCGACCAAAATTGCAGAGAGTTGTACTTGTAGACTCCGCCATAATACTATAGCTCATGTAAAAGTTATAACTTAGAGCCAATCAATGCGCATGGCGCATGCATATCCATGTATGCAGTGTATAGCCTACGTACTATAGCTGCGCTGCATCAACGAACTCAAACTTGATTTCGATGAGCTGCATGAGCAGCTTCGCCTGGTGTCACGCGCATGCGTAATACTACTAGTATCTTTCAGCTCAGTCATGAATATTCATGATGCGTATACCTCTGAACCAATCAGGAGGCAGGATTTTACTCTCATAGGTAAACCTGTTTGGGAAAAAAAAAATTCGCGGCCGGGGGGGGGGGGGGTGGGAGGAGGGCCCCCCTCCTCCCACCCCCCCCCCCCCCGCCGTAGATCTGCCCATGTTACCATATCATTCCACGACATTTTGGTCTTCCTCTTCTCCTCAAAAGGGACTTTTAGATTTGCGTGGACGTGGACGTGGACGTGTTACGTCCTTTTAAGGCACTGGCAATCACATGTGACGTCCTTTTAAGCACTGTCAGTGCCTTAAAAGGAGGTCACACGTTGCAGTCCACGTTCTCATCGTGCAAATCTAAAAGTCCCTAATATTGATTTACTGGTCGAGGTTCATTATTTGCTAACAACGAAAAACTTCTCCAGGCCATGACCATGTTTCTGCCCTTGCCCGATCGCCTCCAGCTCCAGCAGACATGGCGCGGCAGCGTGCACACGCACCGCTACTAACGGCGCAGTAGGCCTATAACCACTGCTCACGGGGGCGAATCGCCCACCGCCCCCGTGTATTTTGAGCGCTGGATGTAGATATACAGTAGGCTTGCAGGTGCACCATGTGAGAGAGAGAGAGAAAGGGTTGAGGAGTCCTGAAAAGGACTCTGACTCAGTAATCTTTCTTGGGGGTGTGTAGTCCTGAAAAGGACTGTTTTGTTATCTTTCTTAGCTTATAGTTATAGAACAGGTTGACTATCCGTCATCAGGAGTGGAGAATAGCTGGCGTGCGTGAGCTTAAGTCACCGGGGTGCGGACGTCAGGGGAAAATAGGTAACTGTGTGGGCTTGAGTCATCGGGGGATGGACAAGGATGGTCGGCTTGTTCGTCTGACTGTCCGTCTTGGCTGGAGTCTCCGGGTTGCGGACTTCGGAGAGTTTTCAATCTATGAGTGGGGTTTGTTGTCGGCGAGACGCTGTGTGTGTCCCTGACGTAGGCGGCGTTGTAGTCTGTTGTCGTCTGCTTTCGTTGTAGCAGTGAGGCTGGCGGCTGCTTTGAGGGTTCGACGGGTAGCCAACAAGCCCGCAGCCAACACCACCCCGGAAGAGGACCAACCCGCAGCTACACCACCGAAGCAAATTGTTGTTCTTCCCTATACCGGTCAAGCCTCTCACTAGATTCAACGTATCCTTCAAGCAGCAGACATCCAAGTTCGACACAGTTCCTCCAACAAACTCCATTCGATACTCCACTCCCACAAAGATAAGCATCCAAACCACAAGAAAGCTGGTGTCTACAAAATACCATGCGAAAGTGGAAAAATCTACATTGGTGAAACAGGGAGAAATCTGGAAACAAGACTCAAGGAGCACAGAACCAGCTTCAGACTCAGCGATTGGGATATTTCTCCTTAGAGCTATAAGCTAAGAAAGATAACAAAACAGTCCTTTTCAGGATTACACACCTCCAAGAAAGATTACAGAGTCTGAGTCTTTTCAGGACTCCTCAACCCTCTCTCTCTCTCTCTCCCATGGTGCACCCGCAAGCCTACTGTATGAATAATGTATGTGTTTATTAATGTATTCTTACTTTACAGTACAGCATCCTTCCCAAAGACATCAAATACAAACATGAGGTTCGAGCTGCAGCTAATGAGATCCGAGCGGTGGGTCGGCGTTGCATCTTGGCTCGTATAGATGCTCTTAGACGGGGTGACCAAGTTCCTCAAGACATTCTAACTTACATCCTCCAGGAGTCAAACAACTTGGAAGGAATCAAAGACTTTGACTTAGAAGATATGGTCGATGAGTTCGTTACCTTTTTCGGAGCTGGTAAGTTTTTTTGTGCACCATCTTGCTTTTCTTATTCTTATAATAAACTGATTTAGTGGTCAGCTGTCTGTCGCCATGCACCCTTAATCCAATTCTGATAACTCAAAACTCAAGTTCATCTTTCAGATGACGACTTTAAAGGTTGGTATCCAGACGTGGATGGGATCTGATTGACAATATACAGTATCTATAAAAACCTGATTACACATTTTACGTTTAACACACTTCCACAAATCACCGTTATAGTACTATGCCTACTAAGGATGCATCGGTACTGATTTTCCAAAAGAGATGGTTGACCGCTTTGCATATTATAGGCTATTTCTGAAGTTTATTTCCAAAGTTTATGAGGTAAATCTGCTTTTACAGTATGAAAGGTTAGCAAGGAAGTTGATATAAATGTCAGTGTGAGAAAAATTGTGTTTATGTGAAATAATTCCTACAATACATGCTATCTTAGAACAGACTGCAAATGTAATCCAACTGTTTATATTTTACTTTTTATGCTTCCGCTACAAAGGTAAGGTTCATAAGATAAGGTTCATCTTTATTGTCCATTTAACAATGGAAATTCATTGTGTTACATGGTATTGCGATACACATATATTTAACATAATACGCTCATACAAAAATCAAATGAATGAATTTTTGAGTTGACAGTAAACAAAAATAAACAATTAACAATAAATAAAAAAATATATAGTCATGCATCGAAAATAATATAAATGTATATCAAGTTAGGTGGAATGACTATAGGAGTTTACAAGTATCGATAATGTATAGCATTATTATCATTGCTTTATAGTCTTATTATTATTATGATTAATACTATTATTATTAACAATGGAAATTTGTTGTGTTGCATGGTATATACATATATATATAAATTTTACAAGTATCGAAAATGTATTGCATTATTATCATTGCTATTATAGTCTTATTATTATTATTATTATTAACAAGGGAAATTTATTGTGTTACATGGTATTGCGGTACACATTATATACATATGTATATAACATTTAACCAGTATCGATAATTTGAACTTGAACTTGAGCTTGATTATAATTGTTATTATTATAAATTTTATGATTATTATTATGATTATTATTATTGTTATTATTATTATGGTTATAATTACAATTGTAACTAACATCATTATTATATTATTATTATTATCTTTATTAATTATAATATTATTATTATGAAAAGGTATCGTTACTACGTTATTATGTTTTCGGGTTGTCCGTCCGTCCGTCCGTACGTCCCGTTCTTGTGATCGCGTTATCTCAAGAACCGATTGATTAATTCACGCCAAACTTGAATCATGTATGTATCTTGCAGAGCCAATGAACTGATTAGATTTTGGGGTCACGAGATCTAAGGTCAAAGGTCACAGGGCTCATTATGTATGCAAAAATAGCTTGTGATCGCGTTATTTCAAGAACCCATTGATGGATTCCCACCAAACTTGGATCATGTATGTAACTTGCAGAGCCAATGAACTGATTAGATTTTGAGGTCACAAGATCCAAGGTCAAAGGTCACAGGGCTCAATATGTATGCAAAAAAAGCTTGTGATCGCGTTATCTCAAGAACCCATTGATGGATTCCCGCCAAACTTGGGTCATGTATGTATCTTGCAGAGCCAATGAATTGATTAGATTTTGGGTTCATGAGGTCAAAGATTAAGGGTCAAACATGTATATGAAGCGTAGCTTTCAATCACAATATTCTGAGAACCTTTTAATGGATTGCAATCAAACTTGAATTTTAAAAATTGCTTCTGTTTTGGTTTGTAAAATTGCTCCATGGCGCAGTCCCCCTTTTTATAGAACGACAGCAAACATTCTATTTTAATATTTTAAACAATTTATTTAATTTAATTATTTACGGTATGTGTATAATCAGTCATTTGTCACCATTCATAATCCAAGTTTCTTATGTTTTATAACTGCTGTTGTGTGCAATTTATACTTATAGAGTGTGCAAATGTTATGTATTGTTCCTTTATTATGCCAGGCCCTAAGATAGCACTTTGTTGACGAAGGCGCAACCCTGCTGTAATAAAACTGAATATTGACTGAAATTAAAGAAATCAGACAGTAGATTTTAAGGGGCCTCAAAACAAGACTATAAAGTGCGACCCAGAAACAACAAAACCGAGAATTATCGATGTTTTATCATAACTTAATCACAATTATAATTAATAAATGACACATATTTGTAAAGCTTAGATCCTCTTTCATTTGATGCAACTCATATGATGCATATTTCAGGCATGAGTGATTAAAAGCAATTTGAAGGAAGGAAACCAAAAAGTCATTTGGCAGGCGGTATCTGAATTTCAAAGAAAAATTCACATTTCTAGAAAGTTCTGTTTGCTTAAAGTGATGCTTGCATTTCCATAAAGTGATTACACAAATTTGTTTTCACTGGCTGCCTTCCGTAGCAACAAACGGAATTGATAAAGACTTAACTCCATTTCGTTGACGATCAGACATAGACGAAAGACTTCATGCGTGGCTGATTGTCAATGAAATGGAGTTAAGTCTTTTGTCGATCCTGCTTGTTGCTACGGCAGGCAGCCAGTGAAAACAAACTTTTTTAATTGAATCATGGAAATGAAAGCATCACTTTGAACAAACAGAACTTTGTTATTCCTTGCTCATTTTTCCTGATTGAGGTGTCATATGAAAGGGCAGAAACTGAACTTTCTAGAAATGTGAATATTTCTTCGAAATTCAGATACCGCCCGCCAAATGACTTTTTGGTTTCCTTCCTTCAAATTGCTTTTAATCACTCATGCATGAAATGTGCATCATATGAGTTGCATCAAATGAAAGAGGAGGATCTAAGCTTTAAAAATATGTGTCATTTATTAATTATAATTGAGATTAAGTTATGATAAAACATCATTAACTCTCGATTTTGTTTTTTTCTGGGTCGCACTTTATATATGAACAGAATTTGTGTAAATATAACATGACAGGGATGTTTTTGGAAGTCAGGTTGATCTCTTTGTAATTTGTAGATTGGTGTTTATATCTACCATCTATTGTTGAATGCTACAATGTTGAAAGATAATACATTTCAATGATATTTGTACCCACCAGGTCAGGAAACAACAGCCAATCTTCTCTCCTTCACTCTTCTTCATCTTGGTAGAAATCCTCAAGTCATGAAAAAGTAAGTATGGTATCTTCAAATAGATGTACCTCCCCTATAAATCTAATGGTACCATATCCTTACATACTATGTACCTCCCTTATAATTTTTTTTTATACCACAAAATTATTGTATATAAGTGCGATCAGGATTATTTTTAGGGATTGAAACAATAATGGTTCAGATTTTTTCTCCTTATCAGACCTCATGTTTTTTAATTTTTTTTGTTAATTGCAATAGCTGATGAAGTTATAAATGATGAATTTTTTGTAGGGGTATCAGAGATTTATATTGACAAATAGAATTGCTTCTTTCGGGCACCTTTGCTGTTTTATTTTCTGATCCAAGTCAAAATTACCTTTATTACAATTTTCTGATATACTACTAAACTCACGTTTAGAAACTTTTTCTGGTATTCATCAATTTGCTTAATTTACCTTCTCAGTTAACAATTATTGTGATTTTTTTTGTTCAGTAGAAATATTACTGATACCTGCTGATCCTAAAGAAATCAATTTATTAAAACTAAAGGATATTTATAAATCCTTTTGATCTTTTTATTTTTACACAGACTCCGTGATGAAATTGATACTGTATTGAAAGGGAGAAACTATGTTGAATATTCAGATGTCGGCAAGATGAAGTATCTAACCTTGGTAAGACTGTAATTCTTTTCTTTTTACATCAAGAGGTTAAACTTTTTGTTATGAACTGTAGGACTAAAGTTTCATTCACAAAAACAATGTCCGATGAAGACCCAATACTATGTTGTTGTTTTTTACAATTTAAAAAAAAGTGGTATCTTACTTATGGCAACCGTTTGTGAAGGCCTTGCTGTAGCATCAATGTTTATAATTTGTTACTGATTAAACTTCTGGATTTCCTAGTTCATAAATATACTTCTCAAACATGCATACTCAGGAGCTTTGAACCTTATTTCATATGCCTGTTACCTTACAGGGCATTTATTTACAGGATATGTATGTATGATTTTTAAGTTTCCCTTCATCTTTGAGGAAATCCATTTTTAATCTACAACGATAGAATGCTGAAAGTTCTTAGCAAATGTATATTATTGACTGTCTTCTTTTTCAGGTTTTGAAAGAGACTCTTAGAATCAACCCTCCTGTTGGTCATTTGCATAGACTTTTACCTCATGAGATGGATATATGTGGATACAAAGTACCTAAAGGCAGTGTTGTAATGGTAAGTATGTATATCCACAGTCAATGATGACGATTCACATCATTTGTATGGCGCCATATATCTGTTTTTAAAAAACTTTCAAAGGCGCGATCGAGCTCCTCCAATAAAGTTAACATTTAAATGTCTGAAGGAAGATCCGAGTCTTGAGCGAAGCTTTGAAGTGGTCCTGGTTGTCAATTTCGCAGAGAAATGATGGGAGGGAGTTCTACGGGCGAGGAGTAATAGAGGAAAATGCCCGGTCTCCATATCCCTTGGGATGAGTAATGGGCATCTGGAGAGTAAGGCTAGATCAGCGAAGTCCAGGGCGAAGGTGACGCCGCTCAATTAAAGAGGACACATACAGTATCCTGGGATCTGATAATGAATCGCCTAAGGAGCAGCAGGACCTTGAATTCAATTCTGCTCTTGACAGGAAGCCAATGCAGCTCAGCCAGGACAGGAGAGATGAGATCATGCTTCCTCAGCCCAATAGCTGCTGCATTCTGTACTGCTTGAAGTCTGTTCAAGATTGCAGAAGGAAGGCCAGCTAGAAGACTGTTACAGAAATCAAGTCTTGAGGAAATTAGTGAATGGATAAGGCTTTTTGCTGCCGTCCTCGTAAGCAATGGTCTAATAGATGCAATGTTACGAAGCTGGAAGCAAACAGTCTGACATACCTGTGAAATATGCCTGTCCATTTCCATGGACTGATCGAAGTAGAGCCAAGGTTACAGGTGCTTACCATAGGAGAGACGGACACATTGCCAACTTGGAGGTCCATGAAGCTGATCTTGTTCCTCATGTTTGCTGAAGAGATGATGAGATATTCGGTCTTGTCTTCATAGAGTTTCATGAAATTCTTCACGATCCATTGACGGATATCGGCAAGGCAGGCGGTCATCCAGGCAGCTATGGCCTTTTCATCAGTTGCCACTCTTAGATCAAACAGCTGAGTGTCATCTGCATAGAAGTGGACTAGTAGACCATGTTGACGGGCTACGGAAGTGTGCAACATGAAGATTATAGGTCCAAGGAAGGAACCCTGCAGAACACCATAGGTCAAGGAAGCTTCATCCGACACAGTTCCATTGATTTTCACAGCCTGTCATCTGCAGTGAAGATACGACCTGAACCATTCAGGGGCATCTGCATAGAAGTGGACTTGTAGACCATGTTGACGGGCTACGTAAGTGTGCAACATGAAGATTATAGGTCCAAGGAAGGAACCCTGCAGAACACCATAGGTCAAGGAAGCTTCATCCGATACAGTTCCATTGATTTTCACAGCCTGTCATCTGCAGTGAAGATACGACCTGAACCATTCAGGGGCAGCGTCATCGAGCTTGAAGTCCCGTTGCAGCCTCTGGGGAAGGACTTTGTGATCAATCGTATCGAATGCAGTAGATAAGTCCAAAAAGAATTACTATAGCTGCTTTCTTCTTGTCGACTGCCCTCAAGATGTCATAAGATATTTTCAAAGGAGCAGTCTCCACGCTGTGAAGCCCTTGTACGGAGACTGCATGGTCTCTCAAGGTGTGATGTCAGTCTTTTGGCTACTACTTTCTTCAAGGACTTTGGCGAGGAAAGGCAGGTTAGATATAGGTCGATAGCTGCTCATCTCATCACGATCTAGGGATGACTTCCTCAGTACAGGAGTAACATGAGCAAGTTGCAGTTCAACAAATTACTTATGGCCAAAGAAATTACATTCTTGTATCCATTCGCCTGCGTAGTAAAAAGCGAGACATAGGCGCCGCTTTTCCGGTGGCGGCGGCGGCCTCAACATCAAAAACCTAACTTAAGGTTAAGTTTTTGAATCTTTAATATAATTTTAGAAGTATACCAGTAAGTTTTTATGCCTCCGCTACAAAGTAGCCGGAGGCATTGTTTTCTGGTTGTCCGTACGTACGTCCCGTTCTCATGATCGCGTTATCTCAAGAACCGATTGATGGATTACCGCCAAACTTGGATCAAGCATGTATCATGCAGAGCTAATGAAGTGATTAGATTTTAGGGTCACAATTAGGTCACAGGACTCATTATGTATGCAAAATAGCTCGCTATCGCGTTTTTTCTAGAACCGATTGATGGATTACTGCCAAACTTGAATCATGCATCTTGCACAGCTAATGAACTGATTAGATTTTGGGGTCAAAGTTCAAATGTCACAGGGCTCATTATGTATGCAAAATAGCTTGTGATTGCGTTATCTCAAGAACCGAATTATGGATTACCGCCAAACTCAGGTCATGTATGTATCTTGCATAGCCAATGAGCTGATTAAATTTTGGAGTCACAAAGTCAAAGGTCACAGGGCTCATTATGCATGCAAAATAGCTCTCAATAGATCTCAAGAACCGATTGATGGATTCCTGCCAAACGTGGGTCCATCAATCAGTTCTAGAGATAACGTCGTGTATGTATCTTGCAGAGCCAATAAACTGATTAGATTTTGGGGTCACAAGGTCAAAGTTCAAAGGTCATAGGGCTCATTATGTAGCACAAATAGCTTGTGATCACGTTATTATGAGAACCAAAAGACAGATTACTATCAAACTCAAGACATGTATATGTATCTTGCAGATCCAATGAACTGATTAGATTTTAGGGTCATCAGGTCAAATGTCATGGGGCTCATAAAGAATGCCTATATATAGCTTGTGAATGCATTATTAAAGATGACAGATGGATTACAATCAAACTTGAATTTTAAAAGTTGCTTCCGTTTTGGTTTGTAAAATTGCTCTATGGCGGAGGCATCATTTTTTACTGCGCGCAGTCAAAGTTCCATCTAGTTATTCAATGAAACTTAGACTAAAAGGTTATCCCCAAGTATCCCCAATCATGTGAGTAGAATTTCAGATCAACAAACTTAGACTATGTTGTGGCATCAACATCAAGACTTAACATAAGGTTACGATTTTGAATTGTTATCATAATTTTGAAAGTATACATTCCTATTCCATGAAACTTGAACATAGGGGTTATCAAGTATCACAAATCATATGATGCAAAGTCCAGGTCAAAGGCCATTTTAGGTCAGTAGACTTGGATTATGTTTTCACAACTTAATATGAGAATTAATAAATCACTTTTTATTATTTGTTCATATGCCATTAAAGTTATCAATCTTGGTACAAATTCTAGTAAATAATTTTCCTGATGATTCTTAGCCGATATTCAGTTCAAAATGCTGATTATATTCAGAGGATTTCATTTTTTTTTTTTTGTGGGGGGGGGGGGCCTGCTAATGGGTCACCCTGCCTATAAATAATTTTCCAACCTCAATTTTTCATCATATCGAATTGCGTAATTCAGGCGAGACCGCCGAGAGCATTTCCCTTGTTTTAAATCTGGGATGAAAAAGAACAGAATACAAATAAATGGGACCAGCAAAATTAACTGATATAACTAGAGGTTGTCATAAGCAGTGTTCATGATAACTTCCTCTGTATTTCCTTTCTGTATTGCTTACCATAATTTTGTATTATAATGTGTAGGATTATGAAAGTAATAAAGATATGGTAGCCTATTAATCAAAGCATGTTTTACAATTTCTATTCAGGTGCCGATATATGGAATGGGTAGGAATGAGAAGCATTTCAAGAATCCAGAGAAGTTTGATCCGGAAAGATTCACAAGGGATGAAGACAGGTAGGAATAAAATCAATCATAATGTGAAAGAAAAACCTGATATGTTCAGGGATATTTATTAGTGTTAGTTGGAGAAGAAAAAAAAAACAATCAGGGAAATTTATTAATATATTTCATAACCATTTCTTTGCTTTGTTTTGATGATCTCTGACCTTCTAAAATTAAATTTAATGAAAAACATATAAATAGAATGGTACTTATATATGTGACCCGGCAACACCAAACCCCAAAACAGTCACATGGTGTGATTTTCAGTTTGGGTTAAATAGTGTTACGAATTTAGATATAGGCCTATGTCTGTACCATGTGCATAGCTCATTATTATTTCGCTGTATATTATTGCTTGCTGTGCAAGTCAAACTTGTCCTTCAGTAGATTTACGACGTTGTTTTTCGTCCTCGAGTAGTTCTTGAATTTCGATTGCGTAAGCCCAGGGCCACGCTCGTCTAGAGAATCTGTCCTCGTCTTACGTAATGGCAAGGACAGATACTCAGTCGCGTGCGGCCTCCGACTGACCCCGAGCGGAGGCCAGACTTTGTCCTCAGTTTGAGGACAGACTCTGCCCTTTAGCTCGAGGTCGGGTTGTGTCCTTGCTGCTACAAAACAGCTCCCTATATAAAGCCAGGGATTCTAAAATCGAGAGACTTCAATCTCCAGAGTTCAGACTTCCTAGTCAGACTTCTTAGACGGACTTGTTAGACAGAGTTCGGACTGACTTCTTGAGACTTCTCCTCGTACTCCTTTCTGCCGTTTTTCGTAATTCACTGAACCTGACTGTATACCAAGTTGTCATTATTTGAAGTAATAAACATCGAATGGAACTGAAACTCACGAATACTCCATTTCTTCTGTTGAATTTATATTGCATACACGCATGAGCTCGAGTGAGAGAGATATTGAGCGAGAACTGAACGAGAGCAGTCTGAATTAAACACTTGTAATCAAATTTCGTTACACTGGTGGCAGCGGTGGGATTTGGACTTCAACACGGACATCGGTTTGATGATAGCTGGCGACCATATTGACTTTTCATTGAACAGCATGGCTACCATGAGGAAAAAACTGAGATTCCGAAATCGAATAAAAAGAATGTATGATTCAGGGATTCATGCATCTGTGCCTCTTCAGGTATAGGAATTTCGACCGGTATGCAGCGAAATAACTGACTATAACGCAGTATGATGGCTATGGAATGATGTTGGGCGTGATTGGTTTCTTCGTGGTCGTGACTTCGACTTCGTGTTGATGCAGTCTGCCCCGCTGGTCAATGTTCCTGTGATCATGGCGAACGTCAACTTGTTCTGGGCCTCCGTGACGACGTCGTTGGGTTTGTTATCCCAGCCATGGAGAGTCACTCTCAGGAGAATTTGACGGGGAGTAGCTGAGCATATACAAAATTCGTCACCGATGTCGGGATTGTTAGTAGTGTAACCGGAGCTGCAAAAGTGCAGGATGACGAGTCGACGATTTCAAAGGGAAGCCGAGTGCCTTTTATTTTTTTTTGACGGTTGCTGCATTGGGTGCCAGCCTCAGAAGGGGAGCACAGCAATGGCAACAAGAGGACGCAGTGCATGGCCATTTATTTAGTAGCAATAGTTTCGTATGTGTAGGGCCAATTTATTTTTGTTCATTTTATTTGTCGAGAGCATCGGTGTGGAAAACGGAGGCAGAGAGTCATCATTTGGATAGCGTTAGAGATCTCGGCATCGTATTAGTTTTGTTGGCGAATTTTTGTGTAAGCGTCGGAGAGAATGAGAAATCATTATATCAGTTTGGAAATCACGGGACAACCTCGAAGATACCGGAGCAACGTCAATCATTCATGTCCATGATATTGCGCCATGTAGAAGTGGAGGACCCGCCGTAGATACTTGATTGTCAATTTGTCATGTGTTGGGAATATTGCGAAGTCGACATGCTGAGTCAATGCTGTTACGTGATCCTTATGGAATATCCTAAAAATATTCTTATTTCTGATTGAGTTATCTGAATTCAGTATAGAGGCGAGTTTATACAACCACGAGCTTTATCATGTTTATGGAAGCAGAATTATCATTACAAATTTCCCGAATATAATGGAATATCAATGTGAAGCCAGGATTCCTACACAGAGTCACTCTCGCTTAAACTTAAATCAGCAGGACAAGACATCGGTCCTCGTCGACAGATCTGGACATTTATTCTAACATTTCAAGATAAACTGGGACTATTTGATCATAGATCGAGGAGACTTTGATAGAGAACTCTGTTGTCCGAATGAAGATTGCGCGATTCTTTTACCGAACTTTGTTTCATTGTTGAAACTGTTGTTTTGAATCTATTTTGTACATGTTATCAATTGTATATTGCATTTGCATTCTCTTCTCTTGTTCCTCTCTCCATCTATTTCCCTATCACTATGTCTTCTCTATTACCTCTCCTTATTTCTAGCCCTCGGCAACAATATGCCTCCCTTTATACCTCTCGATCCTTATAATTATCTTTCTTCTCTTGTTCCTCTCTCCATCTATTTCCCTATCACTATGTCTTCTCTATTTTTCTGTTACATATTTCTATGATGTGATTGAGATGTTTTAATCTTTTAATCGATTTTTGTGCATATAGTTGAAACTCAATTCGTTAGCGGCCGCGTAGCCGTTATCTTGGGAACGTATTTTTGTGTGTTAAGTTTAGCACCCCTCGTTCACTGATATTCTTTTCGGCCTGTACGTCTTGACATCCGAAGCCGTCATATTGCTGCTAGAGGCATGGTGATGAGTAATCACAATGATCGCGTTTTTTCGGATCGCGTGCTGCATTTCTGCTGACCAAGAGTGGAAAAAAAAAAAAAAAATCGGACACGTGGCCACTAAATTTGCTTCGCAAAAAAAAAAAAAAAAAAAAAAAAAAAAAAAAAAAAAAAAAAAAAAAAAAAAAAAATTGATACTGTTGAAGCGGCTTTCATTCTGCTGCTTCAGCAAATCTTGACTAAAAAAGATGTCAGTGTCAATAATTTTACAGCATTTCAGTAGCTTTTGTTTTTGCTATTTGTTGTTTTCAATTTCATATATCTTTTTGCAACCTGAACGATTGTGTAAATAATTAGGTCTGCTTTGACGTTGTATTTTTAGTATTATATTAGTTCTCCTCGACTTTTCGACAGTTACTTGCGTTGTATTATAGTAGCTTGTAAGGAATACTTTTAATGTCATACGTAGATTTTCGTTTTACTATAGGAGGTCGTGACTTCATGACCCCGGAATTATATGTCAAACTCACCAGAACTCACCAGAAAACTAAGTTACGCTGTAACAAGCAATTAAGACTGTACTGCTTTGGTAGACAATGCCGTTTTTGAGACTTACACATGTCGTCTGTCAAAGTGCTAAGGCCACTTCTGCAAATTCATTTTATTTTAACCAAGTTTTCGAATTCAGATTTATCCCTCATGTGCTTCATTTACTCGATATGTCAGTTTTTTTATTTTAAATTCGTTATGTACATTATGGTGCAAATCTTTTGGTTTAACATGACTGTAATTCTATTCTTTTTATCGGTCACTGAGGACAGTGACTTTTTAAGGAGAGGGGGAATAGTGTTACGAATTTAGATATAGGCCTATGTCTGTACCATGTGCATAGCTCATTATTATTTCGCTGTATATTATTGCTTGCTGTGCAAGTCAAACTTGTCCTTCAGTAGATTTACGACGTTGTTTTTCGTCCTCGAGTAGTTCTTGAATTTCGATTGCGTAAGCCCAGGGCCACGCTCGTCTAGAGAATCTGTCCTCGTCTTACGTAATGGCAAGGACAGATACTCAGTCGCGTGCGGCCTCCGACTGACCCCGAGCGGAGGCCAGACTTTGTCCTCAGTTTGAGGACAGACTCTGCCCTTTAGCTCGAGGTCGGGTTGTGTCCTTGCTGCTACAAAACAGCTCCCTATATAAAGCCAGGGATTCTAAAATCGAGAGACTTCAATCTCCAGAGTTCAGACTTCCTAGTCAGACTTCTTAGACGGACTTGTTAGACAGAGTTCGGACTGACTTCTTGAGACTTCTCCTCGTACTCCTTTCTGCCGTTTTTCGTAATTCACTGAACCTGACTGTATACCAAGTTGTCATTATTTGAAGTAATAAACATCGAATGGAACTGAAACTCACGAATACTCCATTTCTTCTGTTGAATTTATATTGCATACACGCATGAGCTCGAGTGAGAGAGATATTGAGCGAGAACTGAACGAGAGCAGTCTGAATTAAACACTTGTAATCAAATTTCGTTACAATATATATGTATTCCTGCAGGATAGTCAAATTGTACTCTACTTACATTTTGTGAAAGAATGTACTCTTTATCTTATTTCAAAAAGGTATTTTGGCAGTGTGTTGTTGACCTATATTATGTTTGTTTGATTTTGAGTCTGTCTAGTGTTGTAATTTTCATTTCTTTACAACCCTGGCCCACTGGTCTCACTTATATCTCCTATAACTTTGAAATAGAGTAAGCTGTTGTATTGATACATAGACAAAATAGAGAACGGGATGTGCCTAACTGATCTGTTACAAGATTTAGGACAATCCATTATCCCTTTTCAGAAATTTGTATCGAGTTTTAATCCTCTTGTTGTCATCTCACACAATATGCTTTCTCCAAGTAATATTGTTTCAGAACAGACATTTTTCTCTTTTTTAGTTGGGTTAGGGAATTTGATGAATAATAAATATTTGATTTTAAAGCCGAGAATCTTGGCTTAGAATCAGACCTAAAGTATCAAAATAATTTTTTTTTAATCTGGCAACTTTTTGATGGTTTGTTGGTGCTGGGTCACATTATTGACACACACTTGAAAAATGACGTCTCAATAATCGTATTATAAACATGTTAATAAATCTCAAGTCAGACTAAAGGTAAAATTTTGATTTAAAAAAAAAATTCTGGTGATTGGAATGACCCCAACCTATGTTGTACTAATATCTTTCAAAGCCAATAGGAGGAATCTAACCGTAAATATAGTCCTAGTGCAAGAGGATAAACAAGAAAAAAACCAATTTTGTTTTCTCTCCACGAAACCTGTGGCCTTGACCAACTGTCTGTATTATTATCTTATATTATGAACTTTCTTTTTTGATCATGCAGCCCCTTATTTGCGTACATGCCATTTTCTCTGGGTGCTCGATCCTGCATTGGCCAGACGTTTACTATGGTGAGTAAATCAGTCAAAGTAGTTCAATCTACAAGCCGGACCCCCCCCCCCCCCCTCCCCTCATGGACAATATAAATCCCATAGCAGTGAATAGTTGTAAAACATGATTTTTTTAAGGAACTTGCATATCCCATACCTCTTTTTTGCATTATGGAATTGTGAATATAACTTGACATTAAATTATCATATTATTTGCGTTTCATATGAATCATGCTTTATGAGGGCTGTCGGCTGGAAACAGTCATCAGATGAACAGAAATGTTTGATGTGTTCATAATCTATATTTGTTTTCCTCTCATCTCTTGTAATGGTATTGAATGAAAAACGAAACAAACATATTTTCAATTGTTTTTTGTATCCATCAACTAGGATATATTTTCAACCATTGATGAAGATTCCTTTTGTAATTTTGATTGTATTCCTATTAGATTGAATTCAAGGTGGTCATATGTAAGCTCATTCAGCAACTGGAATTCCAACTTGTACCCAACCAGAGCTTTGAGTTTGTAGAAGAGACGCTCACTTTCAAGCCCAAAGATGGCTGCAAAAGTTACATCACAATGAGAAACATTTGACATCACAATGAAAAACCTGTGACATCACAATAACAAAACCTGTGACATCAGGATGAGAAACCTGTGACATCACAATGATAAACCTGTGACATCACAATGATATTAGGGCACATTGTGTGAGGACAGATAATATTGTTTTATATTGGGGATTTGATGTATTATTTTTAACTACACTCGCTAATGCCTAGGTCACAAATAAACCGGGCCCCGTACGATTTTCCCTATCCGGCGGCTTGCCGTGGATTTAGAGACCGTACAGGAACCTTCCGATTTACATTCTACGGCATGTGTGGTCACATATTCTGCGGTGCCCGTGAGGTGCCCGGTGAAAAATGGTAGAGTGAAATGCAAGGCACCTCGGCAGGGTGCCGGCCGGTAAGCTTACGGGCTGAATTTGTTGAATTTGTTGAATTTACCCAACAAAGTCATGGGGGGCCCGTCCGGGCACCGTCCGGAGCCCGCACGGAACCCGTGAGGTGCCCTACGGACCCTTTGCAGGCTTTCTACGGCCTAACGGTCAGATAAAAACGCTGGGAGAATTGGGAGCAGCCAACTCAGCACCACGGCGCCTGTACAGCTTAAAAAACTGTCCCGGCCCCCGTAGGAACTTTGCGGCTGGTTTTACTCGCCGTACGGGCCCCGGAGTGTATATGTGAAAGCCCCATTAGGAGCACTCTAACCACTAATCATTGTGCAGTTGTGCACATACTAACTCAAGGTACCATGATATTTGGATCACTCGGGATATGGTACCCTTTATGCACCTTAAAGGAGAAGTAATGTAGATGAAGATGCTTTTTCATGACAACACAAGTATAGTGCCAGAATAGTGCCAGAACTCAAACCTGTGGAGCGCCAGGAGGGTCAAATCTGACTCACATGAGCGCTATACAAGAACCCATTATTATTTTTATTATATGGATCTCTAGTCAAGTATCGCAAAAACTCTCCTGCAATACCTATACACAATGTAAAGGGGGGAGAGAGGGATAGTATGATACCGCAGGCCTCTTTAAGGGTTACTCTAACCCAACTATTGTGGTATAGTGAGAAAACTTGATTTTATCTTTAAGGTCATCTTAGACTAGACAGAGAGGGGCCTGTGTACTTTGCCTCATTACGCATATTCAAAATCCACAAACTAAATAGTTCAAATTGAGAGAGTTGTAATAATACTGAATCTGGATTGCTTATGGAGATGTAGGTTATTGATGGTATGTTTTATTAAACATATCTTTGTTTAGAAATATTCAGGTTGCAGAAAGACTAAATAATTGATTTAGGCGGAAGGATATTAAGAGAGTGATTAGGCAGTTTGGGAAGAAAGTTTAGGGCACTGTTCAACCAACTCAGTGAGGAGAGGTGATTGACAATCAGAGTTTTACCGTAGAGTATCCAAAACATTTCGTAATTCGGTCGAGGTATGTTAATTGATTTTTATGCCTCCGTTACGAAGTAGCCGGAGGCATTATGTTTTCGGGTTGTCCGTCCGTCCGTCCGTACGTACGTACGTCCCATTCTCGTGATCGCGTTATCTCTATAACCGACTGATGGATTCCTACCAAACTTTGGTCATGTATGTAACGTGCAGAGCCAATGAATTGAAAGCATTTGTTTACATTTCTATATCTGTTATCTTGATTCCTTTTAATGTCAGAAGTTGAAGTAATATTGTAATTTTACTTAACGTTTGATTCATTTATTTCATTGGTTTGAGTCTTTGATTTAATTGGTTCAGTTATTCTATAATGAAGAGTGACAATTTTAGTTAAGTATAGATACAACATTATTCATCTGTGTATTGATATACTTCATGCATTTTTACGATCATAAATAGGATTTAAATTGTTATGATTAGATTATCGCATTATAATGTTTTGATAATAACAATTTGATGGTATAGTTAACTAGTTATTCATGCGTTGTATATGTAATAAACTCTGGAAAGTAGTTGGTATTTTATTCAAATTAAAACATTTCCCTTATAAGATTTTATTAATGATATACAATGCATTGTTTTTATCACAATTAAATTATTGCAATATTGTTTGGGCAAATTCAAATGATTATTGTATGAATAGATTATATAAATGACAAAAGAAGGCAAAATAGAGCTACCAAGTGTTCCAAGCAATGTTATGTGTAAAATAATATTCCATAAATCCCTTGTGATATTCTTGTAGAAATTCATAAATTTTTTTTTTTTTGATTATGAGACAAAATAATTTTGTTTACTTTAATGTATAACATTTTGTGTGTGAATTATAATCAGGTCTTTTATTTGTGTGACCTAAGGTATGTTGATTTTTATTAAAAGTGTTTTTATTTTAGGGAGAAGCCTGTACTATTGCCCTTTTCTTGTTTTGCTTGTCAGAGAAACTTGTAGCCAAAGTGGCACACATGAAACTTTATGAATTCTAAAAAAAAAAAAAAGGGGGGGGGGGGTGTCCTGACCAATGAGGCACCGGAGCTTGATATGATCATTCCTAGATCTGCCAGTGTTAATTGTGCAGCTATATCAGCTGGTGTTTAAAGCCCCACTGTCCTACTTAATTGTAGCTACTTGCTCCCTCTATGTAGGAAACTTCCCCAATCGGCATCTGTTGGTCCCCCATGATCCTCTTTTTCTTATGTTAGTTGAGAGCTGAGTTAATGAGATAGCCCCCCCCCCCCCCCCAAAGTTTTGTTTTTAAAGACGGGCCCCCACCCCTGGCAACAACAAAAAGCAAAACGATAGATTTACCCTTTCCTCTTTTTTTTTGCTCAAGGGGGAGGGGTGTTGAGTTTTTTTTAATAGTGCTCACTACCCTAGATCCGCCACTGATGATGACAATAATGATGATGGTGGTGGTGATGATGGTGGTGGTGATGATGGTGGTGGTGATGATGATGATGGTGATGATGATGATGGTTACGATGATGACGATGATGATACTGCAATGATAAGGGGTGATGACGATGGTGGTGGTATGGTGATGATGATGATGATGATGATGACGATGATGATGCATGATGACGATGATGATAATTGTGATGATGGTTATGATGATGGATATGATGGTGATGACGGATGGTCACTGGTGATGGTGATGATGATAGTTATGACGATGATGTAGATGATGATGATGATGGTGAAGATGGTTATGACATCATGGTATCATGCAGTTTGATGATTTTTTTTCCCTCAAATTTAAGGGTTTTTGAAGTGCAGTTCTTGTGTGACTATTTTTAGGGTACCGGTACTCTTTCTCCCAGGCCAGGCGAAACTGAAAACTAATCAGTCTTTTGCCGCAGATGACGCTGTTGTCGTACGCTGAGTGCCCTGTCAGTTATTATTTTGCATAGTGGCACTCGATTCACGTATAAAACACGGTAGTCCAGCGAAATCAAAATGCGGAAGTGGATGGACATGCGCATAGTATGGGAATTTACATTGACTGCATTTTGTACACAAATGATCAGACAGAACATGACCGACAACATCCACGGTCGACCATGGACTACATGAGAACTGTATTTGGCCAAACGGTAGCCAGATAATTATTAACGGAAGTCTATGCCTAGAATGTCTTGGGCTGACCGGCCCTGGTGTCTGAGAACCTTATTTGTCATTGATGAATTCATTTGAGCATACAAGGCGACGTCGACTGATGTTTTTGAGGAAATAATCTGCTCCAAACGAAGTCAAATCTGGGCTGGCATTGATTGGCACGTTTGTTTGGAAAGACTGGAACTGTGCTAAAAATAAATTTGTCAGTTCAGTTATTATTATGCAGCGGAACATTGATACATGATACTGAGAAGGGTAACAAGAGGTGAGATCCTTTTCTATTTGATCATGACATGTTGATGATACGTCTCCTACATTATATTATATAGCCTAGCCCTAGACCCTAGGCCTAACGTATTATAAAGAGTCTAGATCTATCATCTAACTTAGTCTAGTACTACGCCCTACGGTTGGCTGTCAGTGCAGTGTCAGTCTAGATCTACTGTCTATTTTAATATTTAACTCTTAATTTTTATAAAAATAAAAAATGGGTCTAGAATTAGAATCTAGATGAATAACTCAGACTAGACCTCTGGCTCTAGATCATATCATCATACTTAACTTAGATCTAGATGTAACTCCAGGACTTCAGCGGGTGCACATAGTGCATAGGGTCTTGGAAAACATTTGGCGCTTGTTCAGAAACGTATCCAAAATTTGGATACTTTGAGATACCTAGACCGAATAGAGGTCTAACGAACGAAAGAGACGGGAAATTCGGTCTAGGAGATACCTAGACCGAATTTTCTGTCTCTTTCGTTCGTTAGCCTCTTATTGGGGTAGGGTCGGCCGGCTCTCTCTTTAGAGACGGAAACTGTCTACATGTATACACATTCCCTTGATAACGCCACGGCCATTTCAGGTCGTAGCGTTTTGCCCCCAAAATCCCCCAAAATATCATTTTACCTCGTGTATATCCAAATGTAAATTAGGCCTAGGCTATAATACATCGGTTCCACTTACTAACTTGATTGAAATAATCCGTTTAATGCCTGGTCCCTTTTAAGGAAATTATGGGTCAAAATCGACATCCATGTTGAAAATCTTGCAAGCCGTGTTAAACTCTCGCTGCCGGAGTCGTCTAAATCAATCTCATCCCTTCTAGTCTACCCCGAAGGCAAAAATGATTATGAGGGAAAACCTGTGATAACGCCATTACGAACGTGTAGATGGCGCACAGTTTTTCCTTCATAATCATTTTGCCTTCGGCGTAGACTAGAAGGGATGAGATTGATTTAGATGACTCCGGCAGCGAGAGTTTAACACGGCTTGCAAGATTTTCAACATGGATGTCGATTTTGACCCATAATTTCCTTAAAAGGGACCATTAAACGGATTATTTCAATCAAGTTAGTAAGTGGAACCGATGTATTAGCCTAGGCCTAATTTATATTTGGATATACACGAGGTAAAATGATATTTTGGGGGATTTTGGGGGCAAAACGCTACGACCTGAAATGGCCGTGGCGTTATCAAGGGAATGTGTATAGACGGTTTCCGTCTCTAAAGAGAGAGCCGGCCGACCCTACCCCAATAAGAGGCTAACGAACGAAAGAGACGGAAAATTCGGTCTAGAGTAGGAGATACCCTACTAAAAATGTACCCAAAAATGAAGTAAATATTCATTAAATGTCCAAATTTTCTTGTTATTTTTGGAGTATTTTTCAGATAAACGTAGATATTAGTTTACACCTTTTCACAGATTTCACAGCAAACCGCTGTACAATACAAGTGCATACCGATGGTGGGTTGCGGGCGGGCGGGCCTGTGTGAAGTTATCTACCGTAATGTCTTAGATCCTCATTACGGTAAACAAAAACACAATGAGGATCATGTATATCTAATCCCACATTCTCAAACACAACAAACATTGCAAACTACCTTTTGGTGTTCGCGCTTTGCTGAAGGAGTCTTTTACTCATACAACATGATCATTCAACATCAGTCAATATGGAAATTTATTGGTGGAACCTGTGTAAGAGCTTTGCTTACCTACCACGTGTTCCTGATGATATTGAACTGACATGTGATTTACATGACGAAAACATTGACCACAGCTGAGAATTAACGATTATGATCATGGCTGGAAACGCAAGTAATGGTCTTGTTTATGATAAAGGCTGATTTCACATTGCCAACTCGATTTTGACAACAAAAACAACAGCTGAATTCGTAGCTATTTACAGTAATCTTGCATTACACTAATTGGTGTTGTCCTAAAGTGTGTATGTGTATTATTTGCCTTTTGTCAACTTTAGAAAGTACTTGCTACTACATTTGTAAATACTACTGTACAGTAGTACTGCGTTGAAAGTACATGTTCATTGATTTTGAATATTGATTCAATTTGTGTCATTGCATAAGGGAAGGTTAGATCGAACAAGGTAATCAATATTCCCTGCGTGGAAACATTCAAAGTAACGATTATTATCAATGTTAAAATGGTAAAATACCTCCCCACTTTCACACTTGATGAGCTCTCCGAACACTGCTGACACTTGTTGCGTCACGCATGGTACCAAATTAGCATAAGCAAACAGTGTCCCATAACAATGCACACATTTTCAATGCCTCTTTCGTCATCTCCTTTTCACTAATTTTTCTTACTCGACCAGCATCATTGTATTACTGTTTGAACACATTGTATCAATTTGAATTTTGGACATGGTTTCATTTTGATGAAAAAATGCAGCATTTAAAAAAATTAAGTAATCAGTTGTAGCTTCACTATAGATCATAAGAAAGACGCCATTGTACATTCAGCTGCACTGACACATGCTTAGCATTTCAATCGGGAACAAACATCGTCCATGATTTCTATCATTTGGCGAACTTTGCAGTTCAAAGTACATGTACATGTAGACTGATATTTTGGTGTTTTTTAAACCAATCATTTATCCTTGCCCTGAATGTTTCTAAGCAAAGGGTTATTATTATCAGCATCAGCATCGCTTCCCTTTTAAATTTGTGTGAAATATGTTCAATCAAAATCTTATTATTGAAAAATAATTCTACTGAAAATATGTTCATTAGTTTATAGGACGTCGTCTGATTACACAGGATCAGTGTCTGATGTGATGCCATCAATTCAAAACATCGCTTAATTTTCTGGCGAAGCGCTTGTATTCCAAATCCTGAGAGGTGATCTTATTTGTGTTGTCCGATATGCAGTTGACCTAAAATTTATACGACTGTCATCTGTATTATTATCTTTCTGGTTTTTACTTTCTAGTGATGCATTACTGGCATACGCTGTATCTATGATTTTCTTTGATTGTCTACTGTAATTATCTTTAGGCTTACAATACATGTGAATGTTAGTAAACTAAAAATATGTGTAGGGATTTGTTATGAAATAAAACACCCATCTTCTTTCCCTATGCAATGTAATTGTCAGGAGTATGAGTACTGGCAATGTCCTGGAATCTCCAATGTCTAGCGATGTTGATCTTCTTCACTGTGTATTCAGAACCAAGTGCTTTTGGCTGCCTGATCAAACATAGAATCAGACATAAAATCAGAGTTTATTTTGGCTAGCCTGGTTTCCAGGGTGACTAATCATTTCATACCGGTATATGGTTGTAAGGTACATGTACATGTACATGTACAGTACCCCTCAAAATGTTGTTAATGTCTAAGGTGAGGTCTTACTCTTTTGGGTAAAAAAGAAGATATAGCAGTCAACTTACATCTTTAATACATTGTACAACTGTAGGTTTGCTTTGGATGAGTGCATTTAGAGAAACCAGATTTTTGTTTTGAATGGGGTTTTATTGCTTACTACATA